AGTATCGCAATACATCAACAAGTGTTTTCCATCCTTGAACCTCACTAGCAAACTCACTCTTTAATGTCATTTTTTTTCTTGCACACACTGAATAAAGCATTATTTTTAAGTGCGGCATTCTTCCTATTTCGCATACGTATTCCATAACTCGGCTAATCCATTCGTGCACGAACGATCTACAGTGCCTGGAATTCCAAATGACTCAGTGCGCATGTCTGATATCGTTCGCTGTATTGTGAAAGTCGTAAATAACGTTCGCATGCACAAAACGGGGAGAACGGGCACGTCCCTATAGTGTCTGCAGAAAGGAAATCGGCTTTTTTAATCGCGCAAAAGTTTCGTGTATTTCATTGATTCCGTGACGCTTCTTTCGTGCATGATAAAACTGCGGAAGTGTGTGTGAGAGAGAAAGAAAAGCACGATAATCGCCGATGCGTTTTACGCAACCGCTGCCTCGATAACGATTCCTGATTATAGTTGTTTTCGCGCCCAGTCGAGCACATTGACTCGTGCGCCTGAGAATATAAAACCGTTGTTGGCAGGATTACGATTTTTTTTTTAACTTAGTTTGCAAGAAGTGCAAAGAAAATGAGTATAATTGATAGCAATACCACGAGCTTTTACAGTAACTGTATGTTTTTTTGTATAAATTTTACGTTTGACTTTCCTATTTGTCTAAGATAAACACGAGAATCTACTTAGATGTGGGCGTTTCCTAGTTCAGTTATGAGTTTAAAGTCTAGCGTGTTATAGCTTATGAATACCATTTAAAAGTGAATCGAGAAAATTATTGCATGCGAAGTGCAATAATTGCAATGCTCATTTGCAAAAATAAACGAAGCAGAAAGAATGCATGCTCTTTTTTATACAAATGCGCCCATTGTATGAATGATTTACGTCACTTAGATAGATAGTAAAATGATATTCAAACTTGTTTTACTTGGTAAGCAATTCTTGATTTTTTTTTATATATCCTTCCTGTTTTACTTAATTTGTCATTGCAAAATTTAGCATTGCTCATTTCTCTAGAGATAAGTAATCGTAAAAAAGTGCATAAATACCTTCCATTCGGAAATCTCGCTGAGTCGGTTAGCAACGACACAGCCAGCCGAGCCAGCACCCACCACAATGAAGTCGTACTCCTTCGTTAAAAAACCAGTAAGTTCGGGGAAAACAGCCCTGGCAGGTGGTATATAATTATGGTCTTCCAGGTAGTTATATCCTGGCAATGGGTTCGTCACAGTGAGGTCATAGCTTGGATGATTTTGATTAATGTCGTAAGGCGTTTGAATACGACGAATCGGCATTCCGTAATAGTATTCGAGATTGCTGCTCGACGCCGTGGTATATTGAAAATAATTGGTAGGAAATTTTGGATGGTAGGTTGTAATCGGAGGATATTGATATAAGATGTTAGGTGTAGTTGAACGTTTGAAGATTGTAGACGGTGAAGTCGAATATGAAATATATTGTGGCGGACCGATAAAGCGATCTCGTAACTTCGGTTTCGTGCGTTTCCCGAAATCCAAGTTATAACGGAGAAGCGGGTTATAGTCGAAGTAAGACGACAATGGCAGTGCTCGAGGTGCCTGCGAAAGACAAAATATTGTTCAGAAATCGTTTTGTTTTTGCCGTGTAATAATAAAATCGAACGTACCTGCGATTTTGCCTCGAGACTGCTATAATCTTCATAAAACGCCAGACTTCCGTAGTCAGTGCGAGACTTGAAATTTCCGTTATGAATGTTTAAATCATTGTAGATCTCCGCTGAATTGACAATTGTTCCTTTTGTGGTATAATCGGGCAAAAACTCATTGATGAGCTTTGATTTGGTCGAGCCGTAAACACTATCTTTCGAGTAACCAAAATAAGTCACAAGGAAACTCATAAACGTCAGTGCATTCGGTTGACATGTTGATACTTGGGTATGCGCAGTGCAAAGTTCGGTCAAGTTTGGTGGCACCCACGACATTGTTACTATCCTTGATGTATTTTGGTGAAACAATCTTTCTTCGACACGGTATCAATTAGTTATAGAAATTCCTAATCACAGTAATGTTAAATTATTAGAAAAAATGTTGCTTCTAGTAACTGATTATATTATATGCTATTCGCATGCTAAAATCAAGCTATAGTTTGAACCCGGAAATCGTTTCATTTAAGACTCTTTTCATAGAATATTATTACGACAGTATAGTAGAAAAAACGCGCTTTAGTATCCAGAGAAATTGAAAGTTTATTTTTAGGAACAAAATTATCCGAAACAGTCGGTCGTAAAAAACTTTTTTACAAGATCAATGAGCAAATCTAACAAATTCTTGAAAGTATTGGTCAAGTATTTTAAATGACAATCACCTCATTGTTTTGCGCGACTTGACAGATTGTATATAAAAATGAATACTCATTTTTATAATCTGTCAATTTTTGAGGTTGTCTTACTTTCGTTAACGACCATTTAATTTTCAAATATTAATATTTATAATAACTGGCTACATTTCTTTGTGAAACATTTTTTCCATTGTATAATTGCTCTAATTCAAATCGTACAAAATTTCTTAGGACTGCAGGAGAATTCGGTATATAGCGCGTTTTCTTTCTTACCAATTTTCAAAGTGGTTATGAAAAACAAGCAATACACACTGTTTTGAATTTGAATTAACTGAATCACCTTCACTTTTTTAATCGAGTTAAGTCATCACCGTGTCTTTGAATTGATTAATGTATACATCACAACACAAAGTCAACACGGTGGCGCTCCGCCGAGCCGAACTCGCGAAAGTCTCGTTTACGAATGGTTTCCCCCCTGAGGTGATTGTTGTAAAGGGAGTAGTGATAGCGCGAAAAAGTTATAGCCGCATGTTACTCGCCTCGCGCGCGGGTGGGAAACACGAATTTCACTCTCGTTCCTTCTTAGAAATTTAGCGTGACCAAGGTTACTATTTTTCCGCACCTGCATACTCATTCTGTTTTGTCTAGGGAACGGTAAATAGCACTTTTTCAACCTTATGTGGAAATTTCGTAAGTGGACAATTACCATGCTTCATATTGAAAGTGATTTTTTCTTGTTAAAAAGGAATTTGAATGTTCCGCTGCATGAAAATACTTTACTTGACCGTATCTTTGGATTGAATTACAATTGTTTAGTTACAATTTATCTTAAATTAATTCATAAACGAAGTAGGTCACAATTACTTACAGGACTTTATTAGATACAATCTGGCAATTTATTATTCTATACATTTAAAAAAATTGAATTCTATGTCAAATAATCCTATCGATACTTTGGCTCTGATGACTTCTCAAATCTTGTTTATTCAAGTACAAAAAATATATAAATTTGACGTTCTTGGCTCATACCATCATTAATTATTTTTACTATATTTTAAAATTATAGCTGTCCACCTACAGTAGTTTCGAATGACACTAGTTTATATGTTGTTAACGATTCTGCAGTTAATGTGAGAACAGGTTTGAAAGTAAACTTGCACGGATATCATACATTTTGCTATCAATTTCGAAAAGTGCATTGATACGTAATCATATCAGCATAAGAAAGTATGAGGAAGTCACATTGAAATTCATAAATTCATAGGAAATAAATGGCAAAGTAATACTCAATTATTATTAATGATTTAAAACTTGACAACCACCATATTTTTATAGCGATAATGATAACAGTGATCGCCAAAATAAGAGTAAACAAAGCATTATTTCAAACGACAATTTTTTGTTATGCCGACTACTGTACTTCTTGTACTTCTTGCTTATTAAAACCGTTATAGACGACTTGTTTGATTAATCAGTATTTCTAAGACAAAACGAACATTCCGGATGCTACACTACGACGATCATAGCATATTTACGACGCTTTCTATCAATCGATTTTACATAAACGCAGGAAATTGGACCACACAATAGATTTCCCTTAGTAATATATGTTAATTAACATTTTCTCGGTTCCATTTGACTACACAAGATCTCGCAATATTACATCAGTTCTGCCAGTCTTTCGTGATAGATAGACATGTGAAGAAAGCCAATAATAAGAACTTGAAATAACAAGGTCAATTTTTAAATAAGAATTTAACGAACCAAAGTTGAATGTCAATTGAAAGCATTTCTTAGTTCGGTACCTATCTGCTTCGCTCATCTATTTTACGACTTTACCATTTTCACTTTTCGCGCAGCTGTTGCTCTCTTGTCAAATGAAAATTAGGTCATTGTAAAAATAGATATTTCTAGAAACTTGTTAAGTTACTTATAATTGGTTTATGGTCGAATTCCTGCAGAAATTAATACTCATCAATGTTTTTCTCATTCGACTGTCGATCGCCATAAACAATAGAATATTATAAAAGTACGGCTTCCTCGCATAAACGTAATTGGACACTTTTACTCGAATTCTAATTCAAAAGCGCTATCTCAAACAACTTCTAGATAATACTTCGAGAGTCATCGAGAAGAAAATAAGCACGTGCATGTCTACAAGCTGACGTTCAATATTGCCCTTTTCCTCGAATGTAACTCTCATAATGTTACGTATGTCCACCACAAAAATACAAGACAAAGACCGATTGTTTTATATTTTCGAGTGATACAATCGCTCACTAGCCATGTTGTTGTTTCCTTATCACCGCTTACTATTACAATTGCGTTTGCTTAACACGTAGCTACTTAGTTAAGCACAAAAAAAATCATAATTCAAGACAAACTCGTAAATATGAATATCATGATTTGCACAACAGGAGAAGCTTAGCTAAAAACTGATCTATTTTAAGTTAGTGCTACTTGACTTTCAAATTTTACGAGATTGTGGATACTAGAAAATTTTCAAATTTTTACATCACGAATCCCGATCGCGACTTTACTTTGCTTCACAGAGAGAATGGCACACGATATATGCACAATCTCTTTGGAGGTGCTTTATTTACGACTCTCATTAAATATTCCCGTTTAGAGTAAACTGTAACATATGAAATAAGATTTACATTTGTCAGCTGTAAGGTTACAAATTGTTTATTGAATTTTTTGTTAATAGAGTACAATTGGTTAATAACTAAATTTCAAGAGTAATACTTTTACATATAGCTTTTACATTTATATAATAGTATTTACCAGCTTACTAAAGTTAATTAACAATGTTTTTAATAACATGTACTTTGATGTTACGTTCGTACATAAACACGTACACGTAATAATTATTAATATTAATATTCAGTATAGCCAACATACCGTAACATATAATTATCGCAATAATAGCGAAGATTTCAATTTTTGTTATCAGTAATACGAAAGCATATCTTTAGGAGTGCAAAGAGTTGTTGCATAAAAAACAGTCGGACTGAAAAAATATTAAACTTATTGAAAAGAAATGAGTCATAGTTCGTCTTTAGCGAGCCACTCTTGTTTAATCATATCAGCTCCTTTTTCCGCTATCATCAAAGTTGGGGCATGCGTATTTCCACTTGGTATTTTCGGCATGATAGACGCATCGATGACTCTCAATCCTCGAATATTATGCACTTTCAATGTTGGATCAACTACCGAATCTTTACTGCCTGCTGGTCCCATTTTGCAAGTACCCACTGGATGATAAACTGTTCCACTGGTATGTCTTAAATTACATTCCCAATAATTCTTGGAATCTATGGGATATTGAGTACATCCTGATATGTTCATCGGACGAAGTTGAGCTCCGAGCTTTCTGAATGTTTGTGTGTTCACAAAACTTTTGACAATGTTGACTGCTTCTAGCATTTGCTCTACATCTTGTCGGGCATCAAAATAATTAGCGTGTATTTCGATTTGATCTTCTGGATTAGTACTTTTTAGTTTTAACTCTCCATAACTTTGCGGATTCAACAATGTTGGACAAGCAAAGAATATTTCACCTTGTTTAATGAGATCCCGCATAACTTCTTTCATTTCTTCTGAGAAGTGAAAAGCATTAAATAAAGCATCTATTTTAAAGACTTGATTTTTAGGCACCTGAGTATGATGAAACTGTATGTTGGGATACTTTCCATTGGAATCTCTAGTATTGAAATATCCAAGAAAATCAACTCCACCAGCTGATGCAAACTCTCCTCTACGAGATATTAGATACTCGTAAGCCCAATCGTACATAAAAGTGGGCGTTACTTTTTGAGCAGTAATATTGTTGTAGGTAACGTGTATTCCCAGCCAGATTATATGATCTTGTAGATTTTTACCTACTGGAAGATCAGCTAAAACTTTGATTTTGTGGTTTTTTAAGTGTTCCTTTGGTCCAATTCCGGAGAGCATGAGAATCTGCGGAGAAGCAATGGTTCCAGCTGATACTATTACTTCCTTCGAAGCTTTCAATTCTACATTTTGTCCATTTTTCAATGTGACTTTGACTCCGATAGCTTTGTTATTTACAATAACTATCGAGTCTACTCTCGTTGACTTCATGACATAAAGATTGCTTCTATCTTTAGCAGGAGATAGATATCCTTTGGCAACGCTTTGGCGAACGCCATTGTCGACGGTCCCGTAAGCTAAGCCATATCCAATGTATTGCTCACCATTTAGCATGTCCATTAGTGGAATATTCAATTCGTTGACGACATCCATAAGAATATCATGCAGACCACTTTCCGAGTAATTATAAGTTCTAAGGGTTATCGGGCCACCGGTACCAAATAATCTAGTGCCATGTTTCGCCACAATATCAGGATGATAGTTTTCGGATTTCTTGAAGTAAGGTAACAACTCCTCGAAACTCCATCCATCATTACCCATCTTTGCCCAATTATCATAGTCTCGATCGTTACCGCGAACATGTAACATCGCATTGATTACCGAGCTACCACCTAAAACTTTTCCTTTGGCCCATATGCACTGTTTATTTTTCATGCCCAAACAGTATCTTTTATCTGGTTTGACTTTATATGAATAATCCTCTTTGGTGCCTTGTAACAATAACAGTAAAGCTGGAATGTCACTTAATGGTGAAGGATCGACGCCTCTTTCGATCAATAATACACGCCATCGGAGTTGTTCTGATAAACGAGCTGCTACTGTCGAACCTGCGGTTCCACTTCCAACTACAATGAAGTCAAAATCCAAGTTGTTCTTTAGTATTTCATCGGTTCGATCGGGTGGGTAAACTTGATCACTTTTCAAGGCACATTGAGCCGTCAGAAGTGTATGGATGAGTTGAGTGAAGATTATGGCAGACGGACCTGCTGAAGCTGCGGCACAAGTTTCCGCTAAGCACGTAGCCATGGTCTGGAAAATAAAAATTTTTTTAATTAAATTAAGTAAAAACAATGGACAAATATGAACAATATTGTTTTTATAAATTGAAAATATGTACGAATTGCAAACTAAAGAAAAAGTTTGCTTGAGATGAATTTTGAGTTGTTCTTTTTATTAAATACTTAAGTAAAATTGTGATGTTTTCTGTAGCTTTGGGAGCTTATACTTCGATTTGAAGCCAGTCCTAAAACTTCCAAAAATGCTGAAATGCTTGGATACTTATTTATAGCTGCTCGAGTTTGTTCGTTGCCTAGCTATCTCGGCCTTCCTTGCTGTTACTATCCCGGGGGCTAACACGAGAGTAACATCGGTGGTGCGCGCTAGATCTCTTAAAGGTTTACATAACAGCTTCCCTTTTCGAAGTTTCAAAAAATTTCTTGGAACCAAGCGAGAGGTTTTCTTTGGTGGAGAGCGCTTGATTTTCTGGAGACGATCTGAGTCAATGTGAAAGTAAGCGATCCTTAAAAATTAGATTAAATGAACACAAAAAAAGCATTGACTCAGATACAGTAGTAGCTACACATAGAAGAACTCTCTCACACGAATTTGACTGGGACAAAGCTAAGATATTGGATTATGAAAAGAATTATAAGAAACGCAGAGTATCCGAAATGTTGCACATTGGCTTACATAAAAACACTATAAATAGAAAAGAGAATAAACAATATCTTAGTCATATTTATAAGCCTTTATGAAGATCGATGAGGAAGGGATGATAGATGAAGAATATATATATATGTGTGTGTGTTGAAATACTTGATTTCTTACTGTATTGTAACGTGACTGGCTACGAGCTATTCGTTTTAGCCTATAATAATTTGACTACGAGAGAAATCAGGTACACACATATACATATAATTATATGCCATTAAAATTACATTAACTTTATTGTTAATAATTTGCTGTTTTTCTGTTAATAAAGCCTGAAGAGGTCAGCAAATGTGTTGACGAAACTTTGCTGAATTTAATTAAAATTAAGTGAATTTCCATCTCTCACTATTTCCCTTCTTTCAATTATTGTTGAAAAATTTTTTAGAAATCAAGTTTGCAGAGTTGCGGTAACACATTTAATCAAATTATTATAATGATAGAGTTTTATAATCTATATAAAAATATACCATTTCAATAGTATAATCATAATTAAATATTGTATATAATATAAATATTCATTAAACATAGATTTTTATTTTGATGGCACACATAAAAATAATTAAATCAAATAAAAAGAAAAATTTCGTAATAATCTTTGAAAAAAATGACTTATAACTATTGAAATATTTTATTTGCCAATAAGCATTATTCAATTTCATCAAGAACTGTACTTCCTATAAAAACTTGATATCACTTTTTCAAGCAATTAAAAATATTTCAATTTTGAAAGGACCAAAATCCCAGATCATCATTGATGAATCAAATAATATGAACAATTGAAATGAAATCATGTTTCAAATTGTTACTAATGTTAGCTCACCTAAACGCTTAAAGTAGCAGAGTTACCACAGATGAAGAACCGGCTCGACGCATTGACGTACGCACGCACGACTAATGCAGTAGAACGGGAATACGAAGCCATTTGTGACGAAGAGACAGCCTTGTCTATTGCGTCGATGCATACAATCGATAAACGGTGGTATTGTGAATAGACTCTTGGACTGTGCCCCCCTTGCTAGTGAACATTTTTGAAATCCTCTGTTTGTCCCGCGCACGACCTTCTTCCTTCAGCTCATATTATAAACGAGCCGTAAAGAAAGATGTCAATCTACTTGAATGTCCGCGGCGTCAATTTCAAACGGCTTGATTTCACAGATCTTGCGATATCGACAACTTCCTACGCATCACTTTTTGAAGCAGTTCAAGATTATTCGTGCTTTCCATTTGATTACAATCTTCGATTATTGATATCAATATAAAAGATCACAATATTCATTTACTTTTAATGTATTCTTTAAGTTACGTCTGTTTATTGAGTTATTCATGAATTTCAAACTGATACAGTATCAGTAAGTACTACGCCAACTGAAAAAAAAATTTGAATAAAGAATATATTAACTACCAAAATGGAAATAAGTAAACAGAATTCTTTATTTTGTTTTTTCTTCTGTGAAATAGTTTGTGTTTACAATCCTATAAAATAATACTTTCTTAGTGCTCGACAGACGCAAAAATGATTCTAAGTAATATGTAACTGTTGTGATTGCTACTGTTAAATTTCTGCACATATCATTTTTTTAACATGTAAAACTACATTTAGATTCTAAGATCTTTAACACTGCGACTTAGAAATATTTATGAGAAATATAAATGCGATGAATTCATTAATAACACATATCACAGTATGGTATAGATATTTCGTGCTCGGTATCGTAAGTTAATAAATTTCATTTTCTTCGGGCAATATGTAATTTTGAAAGCACGGAAAACTATACTTTTATGACGATTGATGCACAAGCTATGTACGTAATACTTTGCAACGTATTCTACAACTTATTCCGTATCTAAATACAAATAAAAATGTGCTATTATGTAATAACACATTTCTTAGTATTATGTATAAGAATCAATCTGAATTATTTGCATTGCACGTTCACTATAACGCTGATCTTCGAACGTAAGCGATCATAAACCAGAACTCTTTTTCTAAACGTCGCCGTGTGCGTTTCTTAGTGTCGTCGGTATTGGCGTTTTTAGAGTTGGCTTATTCTCCCAATGGGCGGTAATCATATCCGCTGCCTTTTCGGCGACCATCACGATGGGCGCCACGGGGTTGGCATTAGGAAGAATTGGAAAAATCGACGCATCCGCCACTCTTAAGTCTGCTACTCCGAGAACTTTTAATTCGGGATCGACGACGCTTTCGCCATCGTTCGCCGGTCCCATACGGCAAGTGCCTGACTGATGGTTCTCCGGACCGGTCTCCGTGCGGATCACGCACTTCCAGTAGGTGTCGGTGCCGAAGCGGAACCTTTGAATTGGCAAATTAACATTTCAAACTTTTTTTATAATGTCCTACCTGACAAATTTCAATTTCGCAGGATTCGGATGGTTGTATGCGAGTTTAACTGATAGTCGCATGCGAATAAAAGAAACACAAGACCATTTGGAAATAAATGAAATGTTTTACTGATATTTGCTTTATGAAGGCCGTAAATATACGTAACGATTACCGCGTTCCTAATCTGACGATTTCCTTTTCGTGGTAAAAAGTAATATTCTGTCGTCTTTTTACGAGCTTTATAAAGAAAACTTCTGTATCTCGACACAATAAACTTACGTGAAACCACGTAATTGACCCATAATCGCCCTTTTTACGGTGGTTTATACGTCGAACGTCAAATAAAATATAACCGCAATTTAATTGCAATTAAATGAAATAGCACTTTCGTGTTTACGAGTCTCTACGTGTCTTGAGACTTGTTAAAGTCGAGCTCGATCACGTTGATGCATTGTTTCGGTAGCGAATCGTCCAAGAGAAAGAAAACTCACGTTTTGCACAAAGGATGCGGCGTAGTGTCCAATTTTAGATCCCACTTGCGCATCGCCTTCGTCTTGGTCAACGCGATCACTTTTTTAACGCCCTCCAGCAAAATTTGCAGATCGTCTTCGTTGGTGAAATAATTAGGATGAATCTTGGGATAATCCAAGGGATTCGTCGAGTTCAGAGTCAGATAGCCGCGACTTCTGACGATGACGACCGTGGGTCTCGCGACGATCTCGCGACGATCGGGGCATTGGTCGATCCTGCCGCTGCCGTGACACTCTGTGTCCAGACCCGTGAGCGCGCATTTCGAGCTGAAGCCGTCGAAGAACAACTGCAGGTCGGGCACCCCGGCAGTCGCGTAACTACTTTCCATGAACGCCGTCACTTGCGTCAAGCCTGTACTCGACAACGGACCCGTTCGATTGCGCATGTACTCGTTCAACGTGTTCACGGAAAGCATCTCGTAGTATTTATCCTTTATCGTCATCTGAAACCAACCATTTGCGCCTCATTCTTGCGCCGTCTAATCGAATATCACTGTCTTTGCAACGCTCACCTTGATAGCGACGGACACGTGGTTCTGCAAATTTTTGCCGACCGGAAGGTCCTTGACGATCGCGATACTGAGCTTCTCGAGGTCCTCCTTAGGGCCGATACCCGACTGCAAAAGTATCTGGGGCGAGCCGATAGCACCGGCCGTCAAAATAATCTCTTTGTTGGCCATAAACTTGCGCGTGTTGCCGTGCTTGTCGACAAGTTGGACGCCGTATGCTCGCTTGCTCCAAGCTTCGGTCAGCACTTTCGTCACTCGCGCATTCGTCATCACGTAGAGATTCGATCTGCCAGCTACGGGTCTCAAGTAATACCTGCGTGTCGCACAGACGATCGTCTTCAAATGCATTCGCGTCAAGCCTCAAGCGTTCACCATCGAAATCCAACGCACCTCGACGTACTGCCTCGAAGTCCATCGTGCACGAGCATAGGTGCCACCGTGAATCCCGTCTGCGCGTCCTCTCTCAAGCCCGCGGTTCTGTAGCCCATCTCCGCCGCTGCCATCAATATAGCGTCGGCGAATTTGGGCCTGTGAGCGAACAAATCGATGACCATCGGGGCCCCGGTCTTGTAATTCTTAAAGATGCGCTTTTCCTTGAACTCGGGATGTATTGGATTCTCGGCGCGCTCGAAGTGCTTTTCTACCTCTGCGTACGACCAGCCGACGTTGCCCAAGTGCGCCCACTCGTCATAGATCGACGGGTGTCCACGCACGTACATCATGCCGTTCATGCCCGATGTTCCCGAGATCATTTTGCCGCGTGGCCATGTGCACACTCCACGTTTCGCTGTTTGACACACATTTCTTTATTTATTATTTCTTTTGCTTGCGCGATACGTGTAAGTTTGCATGAATTACGCAATCATTGAGTTCACTAATCGACGCTCGATCGAATGCACCAATGATGTCAACTGAATTTGATAAAAATTAGCGCGTAGGCATGAAAATTCAAATTATTTAAAATAAGAAACAACTCGAAGGTACGAATAAGATTCTTGCGCTCGAGAAACTAAATGAAGCACCGAGGCAAGCAGTAGGATGTGGCTGCGTTGGTTCGGTGAGATAATGCCAGTCGAGCTGCGAGCCGATAGCATTGAATGCCAGTCCTGGAATCGCAGTGAGCGACGGCTCTTCTGGGCCGGCCTCGATCAATAAAACCCGCCACCATCTGTTGTCACTCAAACGTCTCGCTACTATTGGACCCGCGACTCCAGCACCCACCACTATAAAGTCGAACCTGCAATTAAAGACCAAGCAAAAAGAAAAATAAACAACCGTGAAGTTCATTGAACGCCGGAGTGAAGAGAAAATCGATGACCATTCTTCCTTGGGTGGAGCATCGGTGCCAAGACGACGGCAGGGGTCGGCAATGTCGCATCTCGCCATCGCGAGTGCTTCGACAATCTCTACAAAAGAGCTGAGATTTCCGCAGACGGCGCCCATGTAGGCAGTGTCGTTGAACTTGCCGTTGCACTGGCAGCAACCCCCGCTCTCCAGCGTGTGCGTCGCAGTGAGCGAGTAATCGCGCACTGACGCGCTCTAAAATTCATTCGGATGAGTATAACGGGAGGAAACTCTTTTTACGCTTTGCGCGCCTATACTTAATAAGCAAAGACGCTGCAACGAAATATAACTTTTCGTGCGCGAAGAAACAGGCAATGGTTTTATTTTAGTTAACAGTCGGTCCACGCTGATTTACGTCTCGATCAAAGATACGAGGAGAAAGTTTCATAATATTACCAGAGTTACGTTCGAACGAAACGCAAGCGTAGTTCGAAAGTAGTAAAAAAACAAAGTAACCCAACGAGCTTCTGATGTTACGTCGATTATTGCCTCTCTCCTTCGATATAATTTATCACCGCGTATTCTAACTTTTCGAGCTAAAGCTTTTCAAATAAATAAATTAAAATGCTCATCCAGATACATATATTTGCGAGCATATGATCGGAAGTGGCTCGCACTGTTTTTATTTTACTCTGATCTTCCACTTTATTTTACTTCGTTCGCACAATCTTCACATATATTGACATCTTGTACAAAATGTCTTATCGGAGCTTTAACATAACTCTCCCTTTTTATTGCTTTTTAGACAAGATTAGCTGACGTACGTTTCTTCGGAGATTATTTTTATCCGAAAAATTTATTCGAATGAAAAAAAAAAAAATTCTACTTACTGCATAATGTACATTCGTTACTGACCAGAAAACAAGTGTCAGGAAAACCTTAAAAATGTAATTTATAACTGTCATATTTTCGATGATATCTGAAATAGAAATAACATTTACAAATGCAAAACCTTATTTTTGTAAAAGCACAAAACGGTTAGTCATATAATTCTAACCTTCAAATTATTCAGTACGCTATGAATTTACATCAATTGATGTGCCAAGTAAAGGTAAACTAAGTTTCAAAAGTGTCCAGTTAGGTAGCTATACGCACACTGCATATATGTGTCAAAATTTTATCGAGAAAAAATTGTACTATATGACGTTTCCAACTAAGACACTTGTGAAGTGTAGTAGTTAAATAAATATTTTATAGTTTTAAAAAGTC